TAAAAATTCAAGTCCATCATCATAGCGGAGCGGGAGAGCAGAAAGACATTCAGAGGTTGCTCTAGAGTGTTCTGTACGGATCATAGAATGAAAGAGTGAAGCTGTAAAAGGGAGATGTTAAGGTTTTCTTTTCTCCCTTTCAAACGGTGAGACTAAAATCCAGTTTGCCCTTGCGTTGTCGAAAACTAAAACCGGAAGGACCCTTCCCTTCCCCTACGGTCTGCAAAAGGATGAAAAATTGAGACAAAGGGGTCGCGGAAACAGTGAACGAGGCTCCTACACCCGCTGGCTATCTTTGGCTTTTCCAGCGCCAGGTGGAAGAGGAGTGCAGAGATTTTCCTCCTTCAGATATTATTATCCTCGTCATCACTGTTACCATAATTATTTAGTGAAAAAATTGTCCCTGTAAAAGTCGGAACAACGGGGAGTTTTTATGTGAAGTGGCGTAAGTTACGTTGTTCTTTACTTGTATTAGTCTATACAACATCGCTTTTCATTTAAGGAAAAACAAAGAAACGAAAACCTCAGATGGATAGTGTGTCGAGCCGGTAGCAATGGGGGTTCCATGGTGTAATGGTTAGCACTCTGGACTCTGAATCCAGCGATCCGAGTTCAAATCTCGGTGGAACCTGTCTTTTTTTTTTTCCCCCTCGAATTTTTATTTTTTTAGCCATAACTTGTATTAAGTACGTTTTCTTAGATTCAGCGTATACTCTTGAGTTTTGATGGACTCCCGTGGTGTGGAAGGACACTTCCGAGGGCCCATGGGCTCAAGATTCTAGTGTAATCCCCGACTCTTTGAGATGTCTTCCTGTTCCCATCAGACCGATTTTTCCGTAGGATGCCCCGAGTTTGTGCGCGTTCAGGAAATGCTGTTTTAATGAACTAGCCAGAATACAGAAGCAAAATGTGACTCATGTTTAAGTAGCAAACCAAAATGGGAAAGGAAAAAAACAGCTTTCACTGATAGTGCGTCATTTTACTTAGGGTCGGGGAAGAAAAACAAAAACTGAAAGTGGTTGAAATGAAGAAAAGAAATCCTTGTGTCAGAAGTGGGATTCGAACCCACGCCTCCATTCGGAGACCAGAATCCCCACTCTGAGGAAGTACAACTTGAGTCTGGCGCCTTAGACCACTCGGCCATCCTGACACATGAAAGTAGCTGGTCTAAATGATCGTAATATTCAATTCTGGTGAATGTGCAATCCTTACCAGTCTCAGTTCTTCGGGTTAGAGTTCATCCTAGAAATGGGAAGATAAATCTAATAAACAAAACTTTCTTTCTCAGGATCTTTGAGGTTTTCCTGCGATCCGAGCTACAATTAGTGGCTCTGCACTTTCCTAATCGTCTCTGGCCACATCAGTGCGCGGAGCCGATCAACCTGCACCGATTCTAGATTGCACGAGAATGAGCTACCGCTATCTGTGACTTGGAAGGACGCAACAACAACAACAAAACCCCAAAAAACCCTGCCTGACAAACCAGCTGAATCAGCGGGAGCCCTAGAGACGAAATGAGCAAGCCAGTGTAGACCTGGGGAAAAAGCAGGCGAGCTAGTGTAGAACAGAGAGAGAAGGGGCAAGGTGAGTGAGGCTTGTGGCGTCTGGGGCAACAATACTGGCTGTTGAAGTGATTTGCAGGAGTTAGCCTTGAAAGAGTGGGAGAAACTTGGGGGTGAAAACCTGAAAGCCCTGAAGGAATGCTGACACAGAGCAGAGAATTCCTAGTTCCCTTCTCCTGCCAGACCCCCAGAACTCTGCAATCATACTTTTTGCTCCTTTTGCTCCCTTCAGGCAGGAGTTGGAATGAGCACAGATATGGATCTCTGACGATTGGCTGGCCAGGTAGCTCTCTTTCAAATTTCTTGTCATAGATGAGTGAGCACCTCCAGTGCTGCATCAGTTTGTTCAAACATTTCAATTTCTGAAGCTTTATTTTTCACTAATGCCTTCGATGCTGCGTGGACTTCCTTCAATACCATTGGTTCTTGATGGTACGCTACCTCTTGAAATGATTGATCATCAACCAGTTGTTTTGGGTACAGCGACTCTGTGTGTGTATTCCTTCAATCTTATTTTGATGCTTCCAACATGGTTTAATATTTTGCCCATAGAATCCATCAATATTTCAAGTCGAGGTTTGAGTTTTTTTTCTTCAGTTCTTTCAGCTTGAGAAATGCTGAATATGTTTTTCCATTTTGGTTTCCTGACACCATGTTTTTGCACTTTTCGTTATAATGCTTGTCTCCTCGAGCTGCCCTTTGAAATTTTCTGTTTAACTCTTTTACTACATCATTTCTTCCATTTGCTTTAGCTTCTCTTTGCTAAGTTCCTGGTGTGGTGCTGTAGGTAAGCACTAGATTGTTCAAACATACCAGCTGCTCTTCAGAAACCCTATACAGGATCGCCATGAGTCTGAATCAACTCAACAGCACTTGACAACAACACGCTCAAGAGCAAGTTTCAGAGTCTCTTCTGACATCTACTTTGGCTTTCTTCTTTTATTCCCTGTCTTTTTAATGAACGTTTTCTTACTTCATTTATGACATTCTTGATGTCATCCTCCAACTTTTCTGGTCTCCAGTTATTAGTGTTTAATTCATCGAATCTGTTCTTGAAGTGGTCTCTGAATTTAGGTGGGATATACTCAAGGTCATATTTTGACTCTCTTGTAGTTGCTTTAATTTTCTTCAGCTTCAGCTGAAGTCTGCCCCTGACCTTGTTTTGTTTGATGATACTGAGTTGCTCTAAAGTCTCTACCAAGGTGGTGCAGTGGTTAAGAGCTCGAAAGGTCTGCAGGTCTAACCCACTAACCACTTCATGGGTTAACAATGTGACAATCAGCTTCATAAAGATTCTAGCCTTGGGAATCTATGGGGACAGTTCTGTTCTGTCCTACCTGTTGTTAAGTGCCATTAAGTCAGTTTCAACTCATAGCAACCCTGTATGGAGTTTCTGAGGAGCAGCTAATGGGTTTGAACCACTGGCTTTGCAGTTCAATCCAACCTTGCAGTCCAGTGTTTTATCCTACAGTGCTACACCAAGACTCTGTCCTATAGGGTTGTTGAATCAGAATTGACACATATGGTACACAACAACAGTAATTTTTTACTAGCGCATTTCCTTCTTGATATTAAAAATGCCAGATACACCTTTAAAATGGCCACTGTGGCCACTCCCATATCCAACTTTATCTCTTTTAGGACAGCAGAGATTGGACCTTGAGCTGGACCTTAAGAGGCCCCAGGGGGAGAGGTGTGTGGTGTATAGAAGAAAACACTGAGTTGAGAGAGTTTGAGGGGTACATCCATATCTGGGTTGGAGACAAATAGCTTTTACTGTTTCTCCCCGTTCCCCTTTCCTCCTTTCCCAAAAACCCCACTGCCATTGACTTGTGATCATTTAATGCTCATTATTTTTGGCTAGAATTCAAGCTTTGGGAAAAATCTAAGTATTTGAAGAAAGATATAGTCAATGTATCCATTTTTTTAACCCTAGTTGACAGGCACGAAGCGCCATCTCCCTGCCACGGTTTCTCCTCATTCTAGTTTATCCTGCACTGCTTTCAGTTAATTTCATATAAAACAATTCTAACCTGTGGGAAAACTTCTGCTAGTTCCTTGTTTCCTTCCATCAAGTTCAAACCCGTGAGTGACAAAGCCCTTAACTTGTCTAGCACCAACCTCCCTCTCTAGCCTTATCTTCAGCACACACATACATGCACAAATGATAACACTTAAATTACATCAAATTTCTCATGTCCCAAAAGAACACAAAGTCTTCCAGATGTCTTCTTGAAGTGGGCCAAGGTTATTTGGGACTAGGACAGTATACTTATATACTCAGAGTGTGGTTTGGAAAGGAATATGGGCTAGAGGATGGTAAGTCCAGTTAGAGAACTTCATGCCCCATAAGGGATGAGGATCAGAATGTAACCTTTTGAAGTGAAGAGTGGGAAGCAGAGGCCACTCTTGCTGTGGAACAAGGATGATATTGCGAAAATATCCCAAAAAAACTAGCAAATACTAAAGCAGGGATAAGGGAACACCAAAAGAGTTGTTTAAGTACTGGATGATGAAAAGAAAATGGGCACTGTGGAACTCCAAGAGCCTGAGTCACTGCAGGATGCTCCCTCTCCCTAAATGTATGTTGGGAAGAAACAAACAGTTTTTAAAAAGCCCTTTTCAATACAACTTATATAAGCCTTTGCAGCCGCTCTAGTTTGAACCATAAGTTGAAATTGACTCCATGGCAACCAACAACAATGACAACATGCCATAGGTATTTTACTGCTATTTTAATAGATATACATTTTTATAGTTAAAAAAATAAAAGGTATAATAAAGTCTCCTTCCTCACTAGGGTGCAACTAGCGTTCTATTTCATCGGAAGAGAAACTGAGTAGAGAAAAGTAAAGCTATCTGTTTGGGCACAGATGGAAAGCAGCAGAACTGGACTTGTCCAATTCCATCCATTTCTACCCTCCAGAGATGTTACAGGCTGATAATTAAACCCTTTTAAAAAAAAATACAAGTGTCTATAAATGGTCTGTTTAATAAAAGAGTATCTGTCTTACAAACTGGGTGAGGTTCAGTTGGTTATCACCACCCCTCTAGCCCCATGGGGTAGGCCAGATATCTATGTTTCCCAGATTCAACACTTTCTCTTTCTGGAGCTCAGAAACTGGGCACAAAAGAAGGCACCCAACAAAGACTAGGGGTCCAGGCCCGGGGATGGGGGCCGCATAAGCTCGAAGGTGGGCCCGAGCATTTCAGTCGGGGTAACCTTGTCCCCACCGCATCCGGCAGATCCCATCAGCCTCTGTCACAGACCCCCAAGAGTCCTGTTACTGTGCATTCCGCCCAAACACAGGTGACCGCCCAGTACTCTCGGTCGTTGCAGTTCAGGCCCCGAGGCTACAAAATCGGATAGCGCGTGGGAGGCCCGGACCTAGCCCCGCCCCCCGAGCCGCCTCTTCCGCTTGCACCGGGGTGGGGTCTACGCGGCCTCGGAGATCCGCTAGGACGCGGCCACGTTGTCCTGCGCGCTTGGCGCTCCTGGCCCCGCGATCCCGGACGGTTGCACCCACTTTCCTGTCCCTTTGCCTAGCCGCCGGGGTCGGTGGGGCCGCAGTATCCCGGCGCTCGTTCTCCTGGGCGCAGAGAACGGCCTGGCCACTCGAAGGCTCCAGCGCGCGGGCGCGACTGGGATCTGGGCCCGGAAGGCGCCGCCCCGTTAGCTTCCCCGCGCCTCCTGAAGCAGCGACCGGGAGGGAGCGCAGTCTAGTGGGGCTCGGCCAAGGGGCCCATGCCCGTGTTCCCCCGCGGGCGCGCGCCATGGCCTCCGGGAGCGTGGCCGAGTGCCTGCAGCAGGAGACCACCTGCCCCGTGTGCCTGCAGTACTTCGCCGAGCCCATGATGCTCGACTGCGGCCACAACATCTGTTGCGCGTGCCTTGCCCGCTGCTGGGGTGCGGCCGAGACCAATGTGTCGTGCCCGCAGTGCCGGGAGACCTTTCCGCAGCGACACATGCGGCCCAACCGGCACCTGGCCAACGTGACCCAGCTGGTGAAGCAGCTGCGCACCGAGCGGCCGTCGGGGCCCGGCGGCGAGATGGGCGTGTGCGAGAAACACCGCGAGCCCCTGAAGCTGTACTGCGAGGAGGACCAGATGCCCATCTGTGTGGTGTGCGACCGCTCTCGCGAGCACCGCGGCCACAGTGTGCTGCCGCTCGAGGAGGCGGTGGAGGGCTTCAAGGTGAGCGTCGGGCGGGCAGAGCGGGGAGGGCCCGGGAGCCGGAGTCGGACAAAGGGAGGAGAGAGCCAAAGGGGCTTCCCTTTTTTCCGCCTAGAAAATGGCTGAGCCGGACGTGTAGTTCACAGCCGTCATTTCCTCTCTGCCCGCTCCAGAGCCTCGGTACTCAGATTTGGGAGAAAAACCTGTAGCTGGTGAGGAAGCCAGACGTCTCCCCACCCCCACTCCTCTTTCTATGTTGTGCCCATGTTTGCACGCTCACCAACACATAGTGCATCAAGGCTGCCCATCAACATCCTTCTCCCCCGTTACTGATATTGACATTGGAAAACCCACATACACATGGAGCTCCTTAGAAGACACTAGTACTCCTACAGACCTTGATCTCAGACAAAACACACTCGAGGTTAACTGGTTGTACACACTTCAAGCCTATATGCATTTCACCGGCACTTCTATGTATTCTGTCCTGTTCGAGAAGCTCATGGGAAAATCACTGAGCTCTACTGCTTGAGCAAGTCATTCAACCTCTGAGATTTAGAAGGGATGACACATTATTATGAAGATTGAATGAATTATGTGTAGAGCCCTTTGTGAGCTGTTGAATCAACAGATTGACACAAGGAAACATTATGGAAACAAAGTATTGAATATAAAAGTTGTAAAGGAATGCATGATGCTGTGGTATTTGTATACTAGAATACTGCAAGCATATACAATTATATCATTTAAATGTTGAAATGTGAGTACATTCATTAATACATGTAGCATGTAGGATGATTTGACTTATTTCACTCACATTCATCAAGAAGTTGGGGAAGGTGGTGTTCACCTCATGAGGAAAATCAGAGTCGTTTTCGCAGTATGCCTCTCTGGAAGAGCCACATTTGGCTTTTTAAGTCTGCTAGCCTAGTTGCCTTTCCAATAAATACATGCAGTATCCTTCCAGGGGCAAATAAGTCTGGTAGTGTAGTGGTTACGAATCGGGCTGCGAGCTGCAAGGTCAGCAGTTCGAAACTACCAGCTGTTGCACAGGAGAAAGATGAGGCTTTCTGTTCCTGTGAAGATTTACAGCCTCGGAAACCCTATACAGGGTCACTATGAGTCGGAACCGACTCCACGGCACTTAACAACAACAACAGATACACACAAACTGCCAAAGGGGAGTGTTGGTGGCCTCTTGCACTTTGGTCCTTTCTTCTTACGACAATGTGGCATGAAGATAAGCTGACTTGGCATCAGGTGTGTGGATTCCATGTGTGATATACAGGGTAAAGTCTGCCTTGTCTTGAACTAGCAACTCTCTTGGTTTCCTCAGGAGCAAATCCAGAACCAGCTGGATCACTTAAAAAGAGTGAAAGACTTAAAGAAGAGACGGCGAGCACAGGGGGAACAGGCACGAGCTGAACTCTTGGTAAGGGTTATTGCAGTTCATGGACAATATTGCTTCTGCCAGTCAGTTGCTCTCTTTTCTGTGGGCTGATGTTAATTTGTTACCTTTGTCCAGCCATGCCCTCATAACTATTAGGTGTAATTGGGATCTCATCTGGACACCTAACGGGTAACCAAACCTGTACCCACATTTTAGGAAAAGGATAGAGGAGATGAGGGGAAGATCCCTAGAGATTCCAACCTTCAAAGAAGGTATAATTTGCTAGTTTTGTGAAGAAAGATTGGTGTTGATCCATAACAAAACTGAAAGAGATTCAATTCTTGTACATACTTAACCTCCTTCATATCATTCTGTGAACATGAACTGATAGTGACTTTAAGTAAGCCCCACTGCTGTTTCTTGCTGGGGTGTTTCCATCCTTGGCAACTTCTCAACTCTGACCTTTTCATTTTGCTCCCTTCCCCCCACTTTCCTAAGGCCTTACCTAGTAGCTGAGGTGCTAATTCGTGATAGGGATATTTGAGGGGTTTGTTTTGAAAAAGAAAAAAACTTTCACAATATATACTTTTACAAATAAGTGGCTTCGAGAGTTGGTGGAAGTGGAATGGAAAGACCATGGAATTTTTCCATGAACTTTTTGAAGCCCCCCCTGGAATATCCATCCCCTATGTTTTTACTATTACATAATTAATAATTAAAACAGTACAAATCTCTTTCCAGTAGAGACAATTGCATCTGAAAAGCAACTCCTTGACTAGTAATGTCTAGTCCTGTCTTATGAAGAATGTTTGTTAACCACTTCCTGCCAGGGCAGAGTAAGTAAAGCTTTTAGACAGGCAGTTCTTTCCCATGGTGCCCTCTTATCCCAACACTTGCTCTGCCCACACAATCCACTGAGACGTTGGCTCCCCTTGAAAATAGGTCTGATGGATGGAGAATCTTCTCAGTGAGCCTGGATGGACTCAAATGATTACGCACACAACAGTACCTGCTGTGGGAGGATTGTCAAAGGAGAGAGACAGCCCTTCCCTGGGAATCAGAGCACCTGGACATACTTCCTGGCTCTGACACTAATGAGTTGTATAGATGGAGAGGAAACTTCTCTGGGCCTCAATTTTCTCATCTGTGAAATGGGTAGGTTGTACCTAGACTTGTGATTCTCAACCAAGACCAGTGCTGCCCTTTGCTCCAATCCAAGGGTATGTGGATTGTCAACAATGACTGGGTGGGGAAGGAATGCTGATGGTAAATGTCCTGTGATGTGAGGAACAAGTCCTATGCTAGGCAGAATTGTCACTACCAGGGTACCAATAATATCTTATAGAAAAACAGTGGATTTGTGATCTATAATGTCCCATCTAGAAACCTGGTGTGGTGGGTTATACATTGGATTGCTAACTGCAAGGTCAGCAGTTTGAACCCACTAGCTGCTCCAAGGGAGAAAAGCGAGACTGTCCACTCATGTAAAGATTTATGGCCTCAAAAAACAGGGTCTCTATGAGTTGGAATCAACCCAGTGGCAGTGGTGAGTTTAATGTCTCTTCCACCTTTAGTTTTATTTTTCTAAAATTACATGAGTTGTTTTTCTTTGGAAGACTTATCTAACTGATCAGAGCTTATGAAGAGAATTTATAAGCAAAGATGTGTGCATTACTAAGCTGTACAGTGAATGCTTAAGAGAAGTGTTTAGAGCAGGGGTGGGGAATGTTTGGCCATCATGCCACATAAGGCTCACCAAGTTGTTTGGTCTGGTCCTGCCAAGGCAACTGCAGTTCCAGCCATCATATTGTTATTGTTGTCAGGTGCTGTCGAGTAGGTTCCAACTCATAGTGTATAGGGTTTCCAAGGAGCGGCTGGTGAGTTTGAACAGCCGACACTGTGGTCCAAACTGACTTTGCAGTCCAGTGCATTAACCCACAGTGCCACACTAGAACTCCTGCCATTATAATAGGAATGAGTTAATTAAATGTTTGACCAAATATAGCAGGCTAATTTTTAAGTTGGTAATTTTGTACGGCTCATGAATGATATAAATTTTGTCAGGAGAAAAAAAGGTTCCCCACCTGGTTTAGAGGGATGGTGAATTAGGGGAAGTTTGAAGTTGATAAACATTCTGTAGCATGCTAGAGAGTAAATATTCTGAGCTTTGCAGGCCAAAGGACTTTGTCACAATTACTCATTTCTGTTGTTAAGCACAAAAATAGACATAGACAATATATAAATGATTGAGTGTGGCTTTGTCCTAATAAAACTTTTACTTATCTCCCATGGAGCCAAGTTTGCTGACTGGTGGTTTAGTGCAAAACTTTTTGTTTTTGTTTTTTCCTTAAATATTTTATTGTGAATTATGTGATAGTTTACATGGAAGAACATTAGTTTTACATTCATTCTACATGGTTACAATCCCCTCCATGCAATCGTTCCCCCATGCCCCCCAGGTCTTCAGCACACAGTTGCTCTCCCTCTCTGGATCTAAAGTCTCCAGCTGCTCCATCGCTTCACGTCATCATCTCTGGCTCCATTTCAGGCATCACC